CCTCCAAATGTTGGCCACAAGATGTTTAATAATACCAAAGTTGTTATTTACTTTGTTATGCACATGTTGGTAACACGGAATTGAATACACAACACTATAAAAAATTAAAGTTTTAAAGATCAAAATTTAGAGATAAAATTATTTTTTGGGCACTAAATATTTTTGTTACAAAAAGTATCATTATATTTTTAGCAACAAAAATTATACATTAGTGATGAATCATTACCCTTTTGGGACCAATTTTTTTGTATCAAAAAATAAACCATTATGAGACCAAATTATTTTGTCCCCAAAAGTCAATTTATTAGTGGCATTTTCAAAATTTTGTCGTTAAAAGTCTTATTTTTGACTTTTTGGAACGATCTTTTAGCGACTGTCCTCGTAACGATGGAAATTGATCCCTAAATATCTTTTGTAATAAAATTTTCACTTTTAAAACCCTCATATGTTGTAGTGCAAGAAAGAAGTAAATATTTAGAAATGTTCAAGAACAGTGATACCAAACAATATGATGAACATGAAATTAATTGAGCATGTTGAAAAAAATATACATAGAATGCAAAGTAAAAAAAAGAAATGTATTGGAACTCCATTGGGAGGAATTAATGTGAAAATTGAAAGGCTCTGTGTACTCTGTTGGGTGGGATTCACTTATATTGTTTAATCTACTGGAATAGGATGATATAGTGCTTACTCTATAGGATGTATTGAAATGTGACTATGATCACATTTGGGACAACAAAGTTCTTGGAAGACTCAGAGAGATAGTGAAGCTCAAATCTCTCAAGTTCTGCCATGTACATAATTGCAAAAATAATTTATTTTGTTTGCTTTTTTAGAAACTGTTTTTAAACAGATTTTTGTTTGTCTTTAGTAAATTTTTTTTCTATTTTAAATTTTTTTTTTTTTTTACTTTTTAGAAACATCAAGAGTAGGTGAATCTAAAAAGCTAAAAAAATTGAGTAAAATATGAAGAAACAAAATACTAAAAACAAACGAAAACCCAAACATTAATGCACACAAGTTTTTATTTACATTTTCATTTGTTTTTGGTGAATTGTTTCATATTTTAGTTATTTTATTTATTTAATTTAAAAAATTTTTTTACATACATCTAGACTAGCATAATACCCATGCCATGCAAGGACTAAAATAAATAATTAAAAATTATTTTTGAAACTAAAATATTTTCGTCGCTGAAAGAAAAATAAAAAATTATTTTTTATCTTTCGCGACCAAAAGTTTGGCCGGCAAAACTTTAATTTCAGCGACTAAAAATTATTTTGGTCGCGGCATGTTGAGATTGATCGCCACTTCATTAAGGAGAAACTCACTAGTGGTACCATTTGTACTCCTTTTGTTCAGTCTGGTGAACAACTTGCTGACATTCTCACCAAGGGAATTGAGAATAAACCGTTTCATGACATATTAGGCAAGCTGGGCATGAGAGATATCTTCGCACCAGCTTGAGGGGGAGTGTTGGCATATTATAATCACCGAAAGGCACTTAGCATATTATATGAGCCGAAAGTCACTAGGGTCTGTAATCATTTGTATGCACTTAAGGATCATCTTGTAATTGTCTTCCTTGTAAACCCTAATCTTCATTTATAAATAAGGGATGATATCTCATCATACCCTAAGCTGGTTATTCAAGCTTCAGTATTTGCCATTTTTTTTTTCTCTATAATATGTAAAAGTCACTTATTTAGTCTATATGAGTCGTGTTTATTTGGTTGCTCTCCCCAGAGGAAGCTTTTATCGGATTATTTTAACTACGAAAGAAGAAGCATTTTGAATCTGTCAATGAAACAATTCACAAATTGCCTATTTTGTTTTAAGCTATCCTGCAATAATACAAGCAAAGGAACTCAACACAATAGCGTCTCCTTTGTCCTAAACCTGATTGAATTCTTGGAATATCATTATTATCACAACTCATGGTAGATTAATAAGATGAAATTCACATTAATTATGTTGTACAGAAGCTTTTAAAAGAATTAGTCGGTGTTTGTAATCACTTTATAAAAGAATCAGTTAAGTACCAACATGATCGAGCCCTTAGCTCAAATCCACTCTCCATGCCAACATAAGAATGACAACTCCTTTCCAGAAAGATAATGACCGGAAGTTAGGTCTGTATTCACCAATCAAAGATTGGGCAATGACCCCTTCCTTTTTTAAAAAAAAAATTCCATTGGAAGGCATTAATCATTCATACTAAAGCAATGGAACTTCTCTGAATTGTAAAACTCCCCAGATGACTTTATCAAACTTACCAACTAGTATCCCTGCAGTCAGATGTAAAAGGCAAAGATAAGCATCCATGATAGCCTGTTGCCCAATCATTAATATTGAAACTTTGGCAGCCCCCTAATAGAATAACATAAATCCATCATTTATTTTGCTTTTATGAATTTATAACACAGTAGAAATATTAACAAGTTTCTTCTTGTACATAAAAGACAAAAAGTAGCGCGTATGCAATCTGAGAACGCTGTTATCAAATATCAAACAGGAAAGACTTGACTGAACAAAAAAGTATCAAAAGTGATAGAGAGCAGATCTTACAGATTGTGTGTTGCTATGTTCCATTTGCCGTATCAATAACAGAACTTGAAGGAATGAAACCTGGCACATTAAGAATTAAGGACATCCAAAAGCAGTTGATTTGATATCAATGTGATGCAAGACTAACAAGTAAGGAAGGATACAAAAGTGACCATCAAGGTGTAGTTGACTGCTTTGTTGTAATAAACCTCAATGTTAACAGAAGTAGCATTTAACACCATGGGGGAGAAGCAATCTCCATCATCATCAACTGAAGGACTTTCCATTAATCCTTCTATATGATAACGATCACGATCACCATCTACAAGGAGGTAAGCAACTCCAGATGAGCGAAACATTTTACAAACCCTAATCAAAAACTAATGGATGGAAATAAGACGAGTTAGAATTTCCCCAAAATGCAACAGAGTACACATACAAGATTCTTTATTTGTATCAGATGCATAGTGGGCACCAAACTTCTCATACTCAATGCTTCATAGATTTATCTACATAATAAATAAATAATTAATTAAAAATCCCTTAATTTTGGACATGTGTATGATACCATCGAACACTCTAGGATGCACGTCTGACGTGCTTTGTAAGTTAAGATGCAGTCCTTTCAGCATAGTAATAGGGATATTTGCAAAGGCAAAACATTAACTAGGGTTACTAGGAATTTTCCTCAAAAAATGTTGTTTGCAAATACAAAAAATTTCAGTACTAGTTGAAGTAACAGCCTAATTTGGATCTCCAAGTTCCAGACACAAATTTAAAAGTTGTTCCTTATTGCCTTTTACAAGTACAAATATTTAAAGCAAAAGGCCAGTGTCAGACACATTGTAAGACAACAATGGTCTAGGTGTCAGATACGCGTTTGAAGCACCTGCTTTGGAACATGTAACCAACAAGAAAGTAGTGCGGGAAAAAAGAAAAAAAATGGAAGAATGCTATAGGTTCTCTTTGGTATCTTTTCACCCAAACCCTATACATACAGATATTTTTGGTTCAGTCAAACACCCATCTCAGACACGCTATATTAGATAACTGCATATCCGACCTGAGACTAGCAAAAGAAAAGTTGGGCAAGCAAAAGAAAAGTTGGGCAAGCATAACTCAACTGTGTCCTCATGTCCTAGATTTGTGGAAATTTAGTGGATTTGACATTTGGACATATATCCACACCTGGTGCGTGCCTAATCCTATGTTACGTAGATGGCTTTTATCCCTTAATTATTGGCACTGCATGAAGATTATTATATATTCTTCAAATATCAAGAAGTAAGATTGATCCTCATTAAATGAACTCCCCCCATTGATGTAACAGTTGCTAGTACTAGCAGCATGTACAAGATAATTTCACACGGAAACAGGTGAAAAAGATTCTTAGATATGCTTGTAGACATACAATGGGGAAACAAAGCTTAAAGAAAGAATCATATACTGAAAGAATTCAAATACCGTTTTGAGTGGATGATATACGTGAAATTTGAGCAGCAATTTCTACATTACAATGTTTCTCCATGTCATACATTGGTGCTGTAATAAGCAAACATAAAAATCAATACAACGTTAAGGTAAACAAACTTAACATAAAAGTGTAATAGACAAAATTACAATGTTTCCTCTTCCAAATCTTGTCTCGAGGAGACTCCTGGAACACCTGAGACGAGAAAACTCCAAGCTGTTCAAAGAGCAACAAATACAACATCATCAGGAACCCTCACAGATAAATATATTGTCATCATAAAGACTAAACACTACTCAATGTTTCCTATCCTCTAGTGCAAGTACATTGTTGATGGAAAGGGATAAGTCTGGCAGCGTACAACCTGGTTCTGGGTAGCAGGCTACCAGCATAAAGAACAATAAACCTGAGCCAAGAACTTCCAAGACCAGATTTAGAATTCCTCTCTGAACCCCACTCCACAAAGTTGTACGGTGCAAATTCTTATGGGGGTATGAGGTGTCAAGGAGAATTTCACTATAGGGTCATGACTAGCATATAAGAATTCAGATGGTTGAAAGGATACCTAAGTAAATTTGATTAGATTCATAGAAATATCTATAAAAATCCCAGTGGAGTTGCGAAGCCTAGTCAACTTTTCCCAAAAAGCAAATCATTTTAGGTTGTGTTTGGTTGGAAGATTTGATGAGGGAAATGGAAAGGAAAACGGAAATAGGAAAAAAAAAAAAATCGATAGGATTCGAATTCCAAGTTATGTTTGGTTGATTTGAGAAATGGAGAAAAAGAAGAGCCTAAGTGAACCCAAAAGACAAAAAGTGAGATTACATTACCCTCTCACTTTCTTTTTCCATGTGTTTTCCATTATAACCAAACAAAAAGTGGGATTGTATTTCCTTTTTCCTTTCCATTTCTCTCATCAAGTCCTCCAACCAAACACAGCCTTAAAGATATTTAGTTAATATCATGTCATGTAGGGATAAGGTGGGGAAAACAATCAATTTTTTCATATCATTCTCGTACTCAATATAAAATGTATGAAACATGATAAGAGAATAATTTATACAATTTAGGAATAATTACAAAAACCCTTGTGGTTGGCCAATATGCAGAAGACCCCTGTCATTTGGGGTGGGGGTAGGGAAGTGATGGTGGCAGGGGAGTGAGGAGGATACATTTACAAGGGGTTCATCCGCACATGGCCCAAAACACATGGGTTAAAGTGAAATTTGCACTAGAAATCAAGCAACAGCTAGATGTATTGCACTAAAGATGTGTGATAAAAAATCATCATAAAAAACATGTAAATCAAAAATAACAAATAGAGGTTACCAAGTGATATGGATTGGATAATATATAATCTTCTTCTTGGCCGAACTCTCCCTCTTTTCCACTGCCAAGTGATAGTGAATGAAAATAAAATATAAGTTTCATTAGTTCAATATTAGACAGCCTGAGGACCATTCCAGTTAAAATGCAGCTCTCAAAATTCATACATTATTACCAGTCAATACAATTAAGTGAACTACACCAGATTATGCAAAACATATCTATTGCCTATTGGAGAGAGTGACCTTGCTCATGATAACATCAATTATAATATTCATAAGCAACATTAAGACTGAAACATAAATACCTGCTACTTACAAGAGAAAAAAGAATGGTGAAATGGGTGGTATTCGGAGGAAAATCCACTGCTTCCAAGCAAGCATGTTTATACAATGAAGTTAACAGTTGACCAAAGAACTATTCTAAGTCTCACAGTTCTACATCTTGTGCAGAAGTCTACATGTAAGTTTTTCTAACCATGACTAAATTTGAAAGTCAAATAACTGAAACACTGTCCCAATAAAAAATATATATACAACTGAAATGCTGTAAGAAGCTACCATTTATGTCAGATTTGAACAAATTTTGTTTTAGTTTCTTGGGCATCCTTTAACATTTTCATTTTCTTTTCTCTTCGTTATCTTTTTCTGATGCAAATTGATTGAAAATCAAGTTACTGATAGTTTTTTTATTTTATGTGAACATCAACACATTCCACAGGAAAAACCCTAATTTCAACAAAATGCTACACATACCAACACTAATATTTCCAACCTCGGCTCAGATCCAAACATGAGACCAAATAACTAAAAGCCCTACCCTATGTTTCACGGACTCTTCAAAATAAATCAAATACCTGTGTCAGACACCGGACACTTGGACAAGGGTATGAGATATGTGTCGGATACTTTTCATTAGACACTTCTTATATATTTGTATTTAACATTATTATTATATGTACATATTGTTGTATAATTACTATAAATGTCTTTTTGACATTGTATGTTGCATGTAAAACTATTTTATCTCACATAATAGATTAAAAATTAAAAAATATATATGATTCTTTTTTGCCGAATCCCCGTACCCTTAAATTTAAGGTTTGATAAATCCGATCTCTAGTCACACACTTGTACCCGATACTTATATCCAAGTCCATGTAACTATAAGATTTCTGATTGTTTTTTGTATATTCAATTGTGTATGATACAAAGAGTACAACCGATATATATAGTAATCCTAAACCTAATCTAAAATAGGAAATAAGAATAACTCTATCTAATCAATCTAATATCCACACAATCAATCTAGTCTATTTCCATAATTAACATAATATTCTCACACCTCCGCTCAAACTCAAGGTATTTTAGCAGAAAACACTGAGAGTTTGCCAAGAAGAAACTAAAATTGCGCTGTGGTGTGAGTCTTGGTAAAGAAATCAGCAAGTTACAATGTCAAAGAGACAAAAAGAAGCGAGATAGAGCCAGAGCTAGACTACAGATACTGACAAACAAAATAACAATCAATCTCAATGTATTTCATCTGCTCATGGAAAACAATGTTATGGGCAATCTAAATAGCACTGCGGTTGTTACAGTAAAGGGATAGAACGAGGAGCAGAAACGAACTGACTGACCACATGAACTGCATAGGCAAGATTAGGACGAATAACCGTCAGATAGACTAAACAACCCACAACCTCTCGATATAAAGTAGGATCAGGCAGAGGAACACCATCAGTAGTATTAAGTTTCACATTAAGCTCAATGGGGGTATTAGCAATCTTAGTGTCAGTAAGATTAGCATGGTGAATAACTTCATTGGCATAATTGGCCTAAGACAGAAAGTAGCCCTTGAGAGAAGAAGTCACCTCAATATCAAGAAAGTACCACAATAGGCCCAAATCCTTCAATTTGAAGGTGTGGAACAAATGTTGCTTGACCTTAGAGATAGCAGAAGAATCAGAACCAGTAACAATCATATCATCCACATACAGTAATAAGGCAACAAAACTAGTAGAGGTGTGGAGGAGAAACAAAGCAAAGTCCTGGGTAGAAGGATAAAACCGAAGCTCAGTAATAACAATCTAAAAGCGATCATACCAAGCAAAAGGAGATTGCTTCAAACCATACAAAGCACGCCAAAGATGATAAACCTATCCAGAAGAATGGAGAAGGTCAGGGGAAGGACGCATATAAACCTCCTTAGCGAGATGACCATTAATAAAAGTATTCTTAACATCCATCTGATAAAGAGGCCAATGACGAAACAACAACGACAGATATCAAAGTACGGACAGTAGTCATCTTGGCAATAGGGACAAAGGTCTCTTCCTAATCAATATCATACTCCTGTGAAAAACCCTTGGTAGCTAGGCGAGCCTTGTAGTGCTCAAGAGAACCATCAGAATGAGTCTTGACTTTGTAGACCCATTTATAACCAACTAGATTCTTACTAGCAAGCAAAGGAATCAACTCTCAAGCACTAGTTTTCTGCAAAACAGACAACTCATTCTCCATAGCTTGAATCCAATGAGGATCCTGACAAGCTTCCTTGTAAGACGGAGGTTTTAAAAAAAAGTGAATAGCAGACAAAAACGTACAATATAAAGGAAAAAAACATGTTATAGCAAAACCAAGTTTGACTATCTATTTACGGATGCGAAGGAGATACTTACAGTTAGCAAGATCAGAGTCATTAGAAGCAGGAGGATCAGAAATAGGGACAGAGAGAACTAGTGGAAGGAGAGCCTTGAAATGAGAACACACTAACACCAGAGGAGAAGGAGGAGGAGTAAGCAGGGAAGAAGGAGGAGAGGAGGGAACAGACTCATAGGGGTCAGTGGAGAGGGACTCAATAAGAGGGGTGGTATAAGGAGAAGAAGGAATAAGCTTATAGGGAATAGCAGAGATATACTCATCACGAGAGACCTCAAAAGGAAATGGATTAATACGAAGCAAATCCTTTTTGGAAATTGGGACTATGAGAAGAGGAAGCTGAAAGTATGGTAGACATTTGAGAAAGGCAATATGGCGGGAGACATAAAGGTGACGGGAAATAGGGTCATAACAACAATAACCTTTCTGAGTGAGACTATAACCCAAAAAGGCACATAGGACAGACCGGGCACTAAGTGTAGTCCTATCTTTACGGGGGTAAAGGACAAAACAAATAGACCCAAACACACGAAAGAGGAAATAATTAGGAAGTTGAGAGAACAGAGCCTCATAAGGAGACCGATCAGAAAAAATGGGGGTAGGCATACGGTTGAGAAGAAAAACAGCAGTAAGAACTGTCTCATCTCAAAACGGAGCTAGAACGAAGACAGAGAGGAGAGACCTAGCTATCTCAAGGATATGACGGTGTTTACGCTCAGTTCAAGGTGTATCAGTACAGGAAGTTTGGTGAATGATACCCAAATTGGCCCAAGTCAATTTTAAAGTATTCACAGAACTCAGTTTTAAAGTATTCCCTGCCCAAGTTAGACCGCAACAGTTTAATAATAGACCGAAACTATGTAGTGACCATAGACTGAAAAGTACAATATATCTGGTAGAAGTCAGATATATGAGTCATAAGATAAACCCAAGTATAACGGGTGCAGTCATCAACAAATGAAACATAGTATGTAGAACCCCTTTTAGTGAGAACAGGAGAAGGACCCTAGACATCAATATGAACTAAAGAAAGCGGTGTTTTAGTTATAGAGGTACTTTTACGGAAAGGTAAGGCTATCATTTAGGCAGGTTTACACCCCTGACACTTAATAAGTTGACTAGAAGAAATTTTACCCAATATACCTGATTAAGCTAAAGACCATAAGCGATCAATAGACAAATACCCTAATCTAGAATGCCACAAATAGAAAGGACGTGACAAAGAATCTAACTGAAAAGAGGAAAAAATAGTCGAAGAGGTAGTCATAGGTAGATGTAGGCTCTCCACCGCATAGAGGTCTCCAACTCTACAACCAGTCCCAATCTACTACTTAGACATCTAATCCTGCACAAAGCAGATAGAAGAAGAAAAGAAAACATCAAAACCGAAGGCATCAAACTGACTGATTGATAATAAACTGACAGATAACTGAGGAACATAAAGGACAGATGAAATAGAAACAACAGACATAGCAAACGGTAAGACAGACCCAACAGATATAATAGACATACCAGACCCATTAGTAGCATTAACAATAATAGGAAAGGGAGGGGGAGTACAATTTTGAATTATGGAGAGATGGGGAGCTACGTTACACGAACTCGTTCATTTTTGGGAGGTACCCGTGTCAACACAACACGACACGACGCAGGTACGGGATACAGCCGAGATACGGCAAAATAAAAATGGATACGGCTAATTGTTGTTCTATAATATTTTTGTTACAAAATTTCTTTCTTGTTCTTGGTTTGAACAGGAAGAGGGTAAGATAAGAAGAAACAAACCAAGGAAATATAGAAATTCACAACTTGATTTGAATGGAATGGGAAAGAAACCTGAAACGTTGAAGCAAAGTTCAACAAGTCGAAGTCAAAGTGCAATTGAGTTCAAAGTGAGAAGTCGATCTCATCTTCCTTACCCCTACTCATGTCGATCTCGTTCTTCTCTCTCTTGTTGCGATCTCGATCTCGTGTTCTTCTCTCTCTTGATCTCTCAATCTCTCTTGTTCTTCATCTCTCGATCTCTTCTTCTCTCTCTCCCCCTCTCTCTCTCTCGATCTGTCTTCTCTCCCGTATTGTTCTCTCTCGCTCACCCCAATATTATTTAAAGATAATAATGACTCTCTCAAGTCTAGCAAGCTACTGGCTCCACTACTTTTATTTAAATAATATCTCACCACTATTCCAGTCTTTTTATTTAAATATAATGACTCTCTCTCCCCCCACTATTATTTAAAGACAATAAAGACTTTCTCTCTCTCTTACCTCGTTACTTTTAAAATAATAACTTTATAAAGATAATAATTTTATTTTAAAAAAAAATTATATTTTATTTAATTCATTAAGGCCAAGTTTGGATAATATAAGACAAATTACACATTTGTACTTGCTATCGTAATTGAGAAATTAACAAAAATAGATAATATCATTTTTAAAAAAAGTTGACACAAAATTATTTTTCTCAAAAAAAAAAATTTTTTTTAAATGTTCGTTGCAAGAAAATACTATTTGGTGGATAGCGGCTAATTTTTTAGTCCAAAAAGACAAAAAGTACACTTATTTAGGACACCCCAAACAACCCCTAAATATTATTTAAAAATACTTTTATGTTGTATTTAATTAATTAAATATTATTTAAAAAATTATTTAGATAAGTTTTTAACATGATAATTTAATAAAAAAAAAAACTAAAAATAACTATTTATCGTATCCCTGTACCTGTATCCAAATTTGGATCCATATCCCTGTATCTTTCATTTTCAGTTTTAAGGTGTCTAACCCCTAGATATGCACCCGATACCCGTACCCGAGTTTGTGTAACGTAGATGGGGAGTCATATGATGAGAGGCACCAGAGTCAAAAATCCAGACAGACGAAAAGATATCTGAAGAAGACCCAAGCAAACCTGAATGAAAAAAAGGAAACAATGGAGGTAGACGGGGATTATTGGGAGGTAGACAGTATATACTGAAGCTGACTAACTTGAGCACTTAAGGAAACCAAGTCAGGATTAAGAGCCAGAGTAGAAGCGGGAGGAGCCCAAAATTGGTTCTGAGACTGTTGAAAAGACGAGGCAGGCAGACATCTCTTCTTGGGACAGTGATACTTCCAATGGCCTCTCTAATGGCATAATGGCATAAGGCACACTCATTAGAAGCCAAAGACATCATAATAACCAGAAACTGAAGGGTTCAAGTGTAACAAACCCCAAATTTACAACCACAATGTAATAACCAGAAGAGTTCTGGGTCTAAATGTAATATCAGAAAAATAATATCAAATGGGTCAAATACCAAGCAGGCGAAACCCAACCTGAGAGAGAGACGACAAACCAGAACCAGCAAAACCCAAACAAAGACCACAGAGAGAGTCATGCAACCTGGTTCTTTGACTGAAACAGAGGCCAGCGATGAAGCTTCCTAGAGCTCCGAACAGCGACCAGGTATGTGAGATCAACTAAGCTCAATATGACTGAGCAAACCCACCAGCGAAAGCAAAGCAAAATCCACCAGCAAAAGTGAAACAAAAAGCCAACAGCAACCAGCAAAAGAGAGAGAGGATGCGACCAGCGAAAAAAAGAGAGAAAGGGCTGCGCCCAGGGAAGGCAATGAGAGAGAGATAATGCGAGGACCAACGAAGGTTGTGATGACCTACAAAATCACAGAGAGAGGCTTTGCGATCTCAAAGAACCAGATAACAGAGCTTCCAGAGAACTAGGGTGAGACAATCCACAGAACTAGCAAAGACGAACCAGACGAAAGGAAGAAGATGGACCAGATGAGTCGACTTCGAATCAGATGAAAGAACCAAAAGAAGCACACCCAAACTCAGATGGGTCGACTTCGAATCCTATGAACCAAATGATGAAAGGAATCAAAAAGCAAAACCAGAGAGATTCGTGTTGGCTGCTAGGGTTTCGAACCAAGCTTTGATACCATGTCAGATTTCTGAATGTTTTCTGTATATTCCATTGTGTATGATACAAAGAGTACAACTGATATATATAGTAATTCTAGACCTAATCTAAAATACAAAATAAGAATAATCCTATACAATCAATCTAATATCCACACAATCAATCTAATATATTCCATAATTAACATAATATTCTCACAGTAACGTACCCACCTATGTTCTCCGCTACACCAATGATTATTTTGATCAGATTATTGAAATAAAATTATAATTGACCTCATGGTATGCCTTTTCAAGTTATAGGAAGATCTTAAAATGACTAGGAAATTTCAGCCTGCGACAAACATATCACCAATCATTGTGACCATCCTTTTAATTTGATGATAGCCGATAGATGAATGTTAATGACATTATTCAAGAACATCAGATTAGATTAACCGAATTCTCACACGGATAGGGACAAATAACAATTTACATCTAAATCGGACAATAAGAACATTTCAGAATGTAACCAATATTGTACTTCTGCTCTAATTTGTATGCAGACAAGATCAGCTATATTGAACATACCCTCTCCACTAACTAATGATCAAGCAGATCTAAGGTATGCAAGATAAGGATCAAAAAATAAAATAATGTAATGTTAAAAAGACCAAGACTGTAAAGAATGCACAATTAGATAACAATTTGAAGGAACTTAAGATGTACAGCCAATAAACCAGAACCCAAGAGTACCTGTTGGCTACCATTCGAAGTTGTCTGAAAGGCCAAATATATACACCTTCTACCCTGATTTGAGCACCACCAACTTCATGTTCGTTGTCAAACACATCATGAAAAATAATCACCCCCTGTTGTGCACAGTAAGGAAATGAAACAATAATGTACTATAACAACAATGACCAAGCCATGGAAGATCATGTCTCAGTAGGAAAGAGGGACAAAGGAATGTGCATAAAACAGGCTATTGACTTCTCCTAAAATAATTCCTTGGATAGATGCTTGGAATAGTAACAAATTGACTCATGTTGAACAGTGGAACTAGCCCCCATTCAATCAAGTTTTATGACTAGAAAGTGCCAGCAAGGCTAGCCTAACTCATGAAATCTCTTTGTAACCATAGCAAAAATCTAAGATTCAATCTGTCTTCAACCAGGTTTAAAGGGTTTTTGGTAGGCAATGGGCAACTCACAGAAATCTATAATAATTGGATGCACAATGCATCCTCCCAAATAAAAGCACACACATTGTTTAGATCTGCATGTATATTAAGGATGGCATGGCACTTCAATGATTTAATATAATAGTATGGCATAATTCATTATGCCGGTCATCAATTTCCAATGCAGTTCGTCGCATAGACAAAAGTTGCACAATGGAAGACAGCCCTTTGAAGTGAATTTCAGTTTGCCATTCAATGTAGTTTGCCAAATTATATGTTAAATCTTTAAAACTTCATTTTTTTAAAAATGATAGAAACATTCATTTATGTTAATTCGAAAAAGGCAAGGTTTCAAGAATTCAGTGGTTGCATTTATTTAATAATGAGAAATTAACATATATGGTATCAGAAAACTCAAATTGGTAGGATAAAGTGCATATAATGATAGTAACCAAGGAAGATGCACTATCTTTCCGCCATTGATTCACTACCTAGCAACTTCATAACAAGACAAAACAGCAAACAAAACAAGCCCAGTTTAACCAATTGAATTTTCCAAAATCAAAAAAACCCATTTTTGACCACCCCAAAAAAATTAATAATCATTTAATACATGAGGGAAAAAAGAAAAGTAAAGAGCAATAGAAAGAGCACATCCCAATAAGATGTTTTCTTCACTCAAAGTATTATTCATGTGAAAAATATTATTACAAAAATAATAATTAAAAAAAGGCTTACATGGCCATAAACAACCAGTGGAATGACTCACCTGAACATAATGTACACCATTTATTTTTGTCGGTGTAGTAACTAACTCAAAGATGGAATTTCCATTGGATTTCCTGAAATCTGGAAACCTAGAGGAGCTATTTGTGGAATCTATGAACCTCCAAGACCCTGCATCTCACATGGCCAAACAAGTACATAATAAGATCCAACAGAATAAGTACCAAGCAAATAGGGTTTATAAAATACCAATCAAAGAGCATGTATTATAAAAGAAACTATAATTTTAATCTTTTAATATAAACAGCCACCAATATAACCCAAAATGATGGCATGTACATTCTTAATGAGAACCAGGTCAAAAATTGCCTCACCATGTTAGACAACCACACACAGAAAAACTTAAGCTCTAAGGGAATGAACCCAATAATGTATATCAAGCTCTCAGACCCTTTGTCACATGCAGTCCCCTCTCACACATGGAGAGACAAGAATGTAGAAATTGAATCAAATAGGATGCAAAGACACAGTACAAAATATACCCTAATAAACATGACGGGAGAACATATATAATGAAAATTGAAAACAAGATCTCTCAGTACCAGAGCTTTAATACCATATTCAAGGAATCGACATAACAAATTACAAACAGAGAGAGAGTATTTAGTTTCTTATGAGCCAAATTCCAAGCAAAAACTTTAATCATGAGTGGCACATTCGCTTTCCAAATCATTTTATGTGAGTCAAAGATTGGTGCATCCAATATATAAATGAGTTTACAATGTATGTTAAAACAATTACCTTAATATCAATAAAACAAGCCATTTTTTATTAGAAACTACAAACCTTAAATCAAATCACCTAACTCAAGAAACTCATTATCAATGGACGTAAGGCATAAATAAGGAGCAAGTAAGGAAAATTTCATAAACATTTAGGTAGTGTCTGGTAGAATTTTGGAATTATGATTTGAGAATAGAGTTGTATTTTGAGTTAGTGAGTTTTGGAATTATGATTTGAGTGTGAAAAATTTGTTTGGTTATGCGTTTTGAAAAGAGTTTTAAATTGAGTTTGAATTGAGTGATGTGACATATGATATTTGATACAAAAATTTACAACTCATAAGCAAATACATAACCCAAAATTCTATTCAAAGCTCATAAAAAAAAATTTAAAAAATTCACAAATATTTTTTTTATAATATAAAAATAACAGGTGCAAAAAACAAAAAATTGAACATTGTCTCGGTCAACTGGCCGGACAACCGGTTAGTCCAAATTTTCCCGCCTTGGAAAGAGTTTTCAAAAGTGAATGTGGAATTAATTTTTGGAAACGCTAAACATACACCACACTCAAAAGTGAGTGTGGAATTATATTTTGAAAGCTCCACCAAATGGAGCCTTAAGTTACACATATGCCCCTAAGACAAAGAACATATAATACAATTAAAGAAGGGGAAAATGAATTAAGCAATTTAAAACTAAAAAAAAAAAACTTTTTCCAAATCAGATGGAATAATAAGATAATCAGATTCACAACAAACTTACAAACCTCTGTATGTTCCCGTTATGTTCCAAGCAGAAAATGGGCCAAATTCATTCTCATCTTTTCTAATAGAAAGCCACTGCAAGAAGTGATGACAAGGAAAATAAAAAAGAACAATCTCAGATACAATAAAACTTAGCTGCATTATAAGACCACGTGTTAGCAATATTTATGTCAAATGGCTAAATTTTCAACAGTCAAATGCAATGTTTAAAAAAATGAATTACAAATTCATATATATATATAAATAAATTGAAAACCAATATTGAAAATAGTCATAGAATTCTAAAGAATAGGCGAGCTCTTGAAAAAAGGGTATGATCTATTTTCCTCCTAAAGTAAAAATAGTAAAAATGATTATACAATAAATACAATCAAAACTTACTGATACAAACAACCAGAAAAGGGAAAACAATAAAGAAGAAACCAAAAGCAATTGCCTAAATATGTTAGCTACATGCTCCAACCGAACAACACTAGTTCAGTAGTTCCAAAGTGATAAGAAAAAATAGTCCATGTATAAGATAGGCTTTTTACAGCTAGACATTGACTCCATTATAAGCCAAGAAAATGGTCGAGTTCATTCCTTGATGTAACAGATCGGATTCATATGGTAGACCCTGTAAGTACCCGCAAACATGATAATGGTACGGTGAATAATAATTTTCTTCATAATCAATTAGTGGGACATATAGGAAATTTGATTCACAGTCAATCAGTGGTCACATGTGGGAGAAGAGGTTAAAGAGAATATGGTGGACTGTGATTTTGTTTTGCTCCTTAATTACATAGGCAAGTTTAGAAACAAAAGACTCTGGGTGTTCACATGACCATTAATGACAAAATGGTAATGGGCATTTGCATTCAAGCAGGAAATTATTGGGGGAAGGTAGAAATCACTCATTATGGTTGAGTTGAGGTCTACCAGACTATTGTGTAACTCTCTAATGATCGTGGTGCATCTAAAGACATTAGGAAAGAAATGGAAGAAGTTCCTTGAACATATAATGTAATTGTCAGAAGACACATAGGGTCAAATTTTGGCATGAACGTGGGCTGCCAGGAGAGAGGGGGCAGGGGTTGCCCTTAAGAGAGAACTTGTTCAAACTCAAAGAATTCTACAAGAGGTAACCTCCAAGTACAATTGATTGGAGATTGTAAGCATTTATTCCTTGTAAAGGGATATCAAATCCAAACTAACAATGTGTTTATGTGTGTCTACAAGGTAGACATGTATTCTAAATGTTCAAACTCCACCTAAAAACGTCTAAAAACATAATAGGGCATGTCTGAATGGGTGCCCAACACATGTCCAACATGGACATGGAACCTTTTTAGAAGAATCCATGCTTCTTAGATTTTAGCCAGATTCTTGTACTTGTATGGGATGATAGCATGTGTTTCCCCTGGACTGTCTACACGAGTTGTATCCACTTTTAGCACCTTTTGTAAATCTATCTATTATTAATAAAAATACATAACTAAAAAAATTTTAAAAAAAAGTTAAGCATCATCAACATTAAATCCCAGCCGAAACATTACTTGGTACCACAATCAATAAAAGTTACATCCCATTAGGTTGTTTAACAGAAAATATTTCTTGCATTTAAGTGCATCTAAAGGCAACAAATATGTTTCCTATCATATGAAGGTTTTATATCACATTTTTGTGAAACAATTGCAAGAGAGCTACTTATAGTTACAGCCTATAGGTATTTAGATAGCTTCAATTTCACTTAGTCACCAATAACAAAGATCAAATCTTGGTGAAGTAAGAACACTACAGAAAACCGCTATTAATTTCAACTACTGTTTCCCTTTCCTAAATGATAACAATTAGTTTCATTTGGAACTCATGCAAACCCAAGTTCCCTAACACCAGCAAAGAGGTATCCTAATCCCTGTAGACACTTGACAACAAATTTATGTAGTGGGCCGGGCTTTTAGTTTTACCTTTTTTCCCCCACTTACTCTTAACTCCTGTAATTTATTTGGGTTTTTCTCTGTTTTGAATATTTAGCATCAAAATGGCCTCTCTAAAGGTCATTCCTTTAATTATATCACCAAATGAACACTACACACATACAAAAGTCTCTAAGCTTTTGTTACCACAACATGACATCTCGCAAAACCCTAAGCCTTTACACTGCCATCCAGAACATATGCTACTGCCCTCAAGTCAAAATCCTTGTTTCTTCAGTTTACTGGTGCCAAGGTTATGCTTTTTTCCCTGTATCATGCAGGCAAACCTGCTGAGTATTTTTTGTGTGTGCGCATCTGAAGTGAATAGGTCTCAGTTTCCCCTACTCTTTGTTTTACTAATATATGTAAAATACAAAATGTATAAAAATAAATATTTCCTTGCAGTCAAAATATTAGAACTTCTCATCTATCAATTGCAATGAGGCACTTTTTTTTTCTTTTTTTTTTTTTGGCTAGGTAAGTTAAGGAGACTCAAATTTCAGTCTCTTTCTTGCAATGAAGCACTGTGAACTTAATTCAAGGTCACATGCCAATGTTTTTAGGGGAAATATCATTTTTTTGGGAAGTACAAAAACAATCAATTTAGTGGTGAAGTTTATGAACTTCTCCTTTAATGTTATAAAGTTTCCATTAATTTGATACTACTTTTCCTACTTTCCATTAGAATGATATTTACCCACATTTTTATTGCACATTATATTGTACATTGATCTTCAATGAGAGAGCATTTTATGAAACTACAATACCAAGGATCCGATATACTGATATTATCTCTTATCAACTTGTATGTAAGTTCTGTAAGGTAATGGAATGTTAACTCATGGTAGAGTTTTAGACAATCCCCTAACATTTTCTTTTTTCTTTTTCATTTTCAAAACTGATCATCAACAATCACATAAAAATTCAATTTTTTTTTGTTTTTTGGGTGTGTGTGTGTGTAAAATTTTAATCAGCCAAAATGTATCAAGTTCACTCAATAGAAACCCAGAAAATCAAGTTCAACAGACACCAAACCAATAAGGTGTCAGCAACCTAACCAGTCAACTAATGTACTCGTTTACTACAAACCACATTGAAGAAACTGTATTCAATCATAATTTGTAAATTTGGGATCCTAAAGTTCATTACTTTCATCACCAAAACATCACCAAATAGCAAATTACACAAAAAAAGTTAAGCACAAAGGGCCTAAGAATCCACGACATACCAATTAACAAAACCAAATTCATACTAACCTCATCACCCCACGAACGAACCCCTTTCCTCAGAGGCCTAACTCCCGAAACAGGCCGCAAAAACACGAAACAAACGAAGAAACCAAGCACAATCCGAACCACAAAACCTAACCCCCAAAAATCCAAGTTGTTGGCCATAGAAATTTCAGAATCAGAACACTTGATCGCACAATTCAGCTTCGATTTTGCTCAAAGAATTGATGATAACCATGATTGTTAAGAGGGAGAGGAATTGAAGATGTTGCTTGAAAAGGAGTCAACAAATAATAGGAACTAGCAACCCAACAACGACGACGGAGACACCGATCAAAACACCGAAAGCGAGAGGTCAACAAGAAACTAAGAAAATCGATTCAACAAACTAGACCTTTCACCAGTCAATTCCAGACCAGAAAACACTACTACATACATAATACAATACAAAACAACATATTTTTATATGTATATATATATGGGTTTTGTTTGTGTAAACTGTGAGAGAGAGAAGAGTGGGTGGGGATTTCGTCGTCGTTTACTGTAATTGTGAAGTGAAAGTCAAAACAATGGAGTCTCTCTAACTCTCTCTCTCGCTGTGTGGGAATGCGTTACAAACGATATGTGCGATAGAGAAGACGTGAACGGCACGGTCCAATCAGAGAACGGTATGATGATTGTTTATGATGATTGATGGTGAATGAACAACGGTTAGATCATAGATGGGGGACACATGTAAATGGGGTTTTGTTGTATGGACGGTTAGGATCAAACTGTGATGTAAAAATATGACAATGGCACTGTTTGCTAAGTCTTATTTTCAGTAATTTAAGTTATTTTGATTGTTTGGTTCAGTAGTTTATATTTTTTTATAAATTAAAAATCAATTTATTCTTTAAATGAGGAAGATAAACTTAATTTATAAGTCAAAAATTAATTTATCTTCACAATTATAAATTATAAGTGATTAAGTTAAACAGCAATGCTAGGTATCATGAAAAACATTTCATGAAAATAAACATGAAAGATCTGTGACCCTTGAATTACACTTAGAATAAAATACCACACACTAATCAAGATAATTCAAAAATCATAAATTTTTCATAATAATTTTCATGACAAAATTTTCATGATCCTTAACTTCTCCTAAGTTAAAAAGTATAACAAGTTTCTCACGACTCCATCAAACGGGCCAACACCATTAAAAAATTTCATCTGTCTCACGACTCGTGTTATTTGACACGTGGACAAGTAAATTGAATGATGGTAAGGATTTCAGTTTTTTTTATTAAATGAATGATTAATGGGGAATTTTAATGGTGTCGGTAATTTGAGACTCGTGTTATTTTATTTTTAATTTTTTAATTATGATATATTTATTTTTAAATGTTAATTTTTAAAATAATAATTAAAGATATTATTATTTAATTTCAATAATAAAATCTTTAATTTAATAAAATATAAATTAATTTTACAAAAATAAATGTCACAAAATATTTTAAAATTTTTAAAAATTTCTTCTACCCTACTAAAGATGAAATTATGTAAAATTAATAAATCTTTTAGATTTTTTTTTATCAAATTAATTTTTATTATACGTTTGGATAATGATAATGAAACGAGTGGTTATTAGGATTTTAATATATAATCGTTATATTTAATATATGAAATATTTTTAATTTTGAATTTTTTGATTTAATAGATTGGTATAATAATGATATTAAAATTGTTGCCATATTTATTTTTTGAAAAAATAGAAACTAATTTAATGAAAATAAAAACTACCCATTACATGATCATCATCCAAATATATAATAAAAATTAATTTGATTAAAATAAATTAATTAATTAATGTCCACAAGATTTATCAATTTTACATAATTTTATTATTTAATATATGAAATATTTTTAATTTTGAATTTTTTGATTTAATGGATTGGTATAATAATGATATTAAAATTGTTGCCATATTTAATTTTTGAAAAAATAGAAACTAATTTAATGAAAATAAAAACTACCCATTACATGATCATCATCCAAATATATAATAAAAATTAATTTGATTAAAATAAATTAATTAATTAATGTCCACAAGATTTATCAATTTTACATAATTTTATCTTTAGTTGCCAGAAATAATTTTTAAAAATTCAAAAATATTTTTGACATTAATTTTTATCAAATTAGTTCATATTTTATCAAATTGACAATTTTGCTCTTGAAATTAAGCAACGGTATCTTCAATCGTCCTTATTTGGAATAAGATTCAAAATTCATAGTCAAATGTGTCACAATTGAAAAGTCAGAAACCAAAGTGACACAAGCCCCAGACTATAAGGACCATTAGTATAATTCGCCTATGATTAAATATTTTATATGAGTTTTGTAGATCCTACACTTATGTAATTTGATAAAAAATTTAAAATCTATAATATTTTTTAATATTTAAAAAAAAAAACTTAACTCGATTAATAAATGTATTTCTCATCATAAAATTTACTTTAGTCATTTTAAAATTTTATAAAGTTGTGAATGTACCGAACCAACCTACTTTAAACACGGCTCAATTTCTTTAAACATGGTTTGAAATGTCCTAAATAAGTGTACTTTTGACTTTTTATAAAAAAAATATGTAGAAAAATAGAGAGAAAATATTAATTGATGTGACCCAAAAAAGAAAAAAAAATATAGACTAAAATAGGTTATGCCAAACCAAGCTTAATTCCTTTTTCCTTTTTCCTTTTTTTAAACTCAACACCTCTCTCTTATTAAAATTAGCTTTCAACTATCACAAATAATGACAATTTTATCTACAATTCACTACTACTAATACTATCTCTGGCCATTACCACAACCCCTCCTTTTCCCTAGCAACCCTCACTTCCTTGTTTGCCACTTGTGCAATGCCCTTACTTACCACCACTCTTCACCAACCTATTTTTCGCCACTAAAGTTCTCGTAAAATATTCTAAATTGCAATGAAAAGATGGATAAAGAGATTGCGAAAAATATGAGAGAAAGAGAGAGGTTGAACTGTGCTTTAGTGGCAAGGGTCTCCAAAATAGGGGTATACAGTGGTAAATAAAAAATAAAAAATAAATAAAAATTATTGTATAAAAATAAAAGCAATTCCTGACGTCAATTGAGTCTTCATTTGGGATTAATTTTTTTAACTGGACTTTTTTGTTATTTGATTAGTTAAAAAAATTATATGTGAAATGATGATTGATTTTATTTAATAATTAATTTGATAGTTGTAAGAGAAAATATAAAATTATTATAATTTAAATGTAATATTTTGTAAAATTTGCTAAATAGCCAATTTTTTTTGTGCCTAAGGCCATTTTCAACATTTCCTCAAATCTGTCGTGCAATTCAAATTTAATAAAAAAGACTTAAAAAGTGAGTTTCAACCCTGTCATCAAATGTTATCAAATGAAAGAAGTAACAGTTTTTTTTTTTTCTTTATCAAATCAAGAGAACAAACTTCTATTAATTTCACAAGTGACGGTTGATAGACGACCAAAAGAACAAACTCTCGAACAATCAATTTTGACTGAAAATTTATTGTTCACCATACAATCAATAGAATCGATAAAAATAATTAAAATATATGTCAAATCGATTTTTTTTTTTCCAAATTTAATGAATGATTTGATAAACAAATTTAGGGTTGTGCAAAATACTGTTGGAAAATTTATAAAGAGGTAATTGTGAATTGAAATAGATTTCATTTTGAATGAAAGGGTGTAACCTTTCATGGTGTCTTTTTGTTTTAAAGGAATGGTCAAACATCCATTTGAATGAAAGGGTGCAAACCTTTCATGGTGTCTCTTTATTTTAAATGAATGGTTATGTCCCTTCTTCATACATTTTCTATTCAAATTGAATAGGTGCCAACAAAGCCTATATAAAGGCAGCCCCATTCTAATTTTGATTAGATTCCGAAAATTTATTTTCCTTGCCTTCATTTTGCTCTCTTGCGTCCTTTATTCTTCATTTTATTTTAGGAAAAATTTCAGAGAGTTATAGAACACAAGGTTCTAATTCGCCGAACAAATTTGTTTGAAGTGCTACTACAAATTTGTGAAGATTATTGTATCCTGGGAGATAGACGCCACTCAACCGTAAGCACCGTTGCGGGGCGAATATGTCTTAAGGACAGAGTGTCACACGCTCAACTTGGTCTTTGAATTATTTATTTGGTTCTACAAGATAAATACTGTAAGTTTTATTTTATTTTGTTTGAATTGTTTCAATTTATTTTATTCACACAGAAGATTGTTCCAACAATCTTAAGACAGATTCGAATTATTCTGGTTACAGAATTTTTCATTTGTTTCCTTTAATCTTTCTTCGTTTAAGAAAATTATTTTCTGTGGATTTACAAAATAATATTCTAGTTGGAAAAACAAATAGTGATTATATGCTATTTGACAGATAGTAGTAATGTACTGTCTATTTTCTTTGACAACTAGTAGTGCGATACTGGTGTCATTAACAATTCAGAATATATTTTTGTGAAATTTTTTCACAAATTAATTTTGGGTTTTTTAGAAATTATTTTCTGGATTTTCATTGATTAAAATTTTGTTTCAGTATTTTAATTATTGAAGTGTTATAGAAATTTAATTTTCTGTGTGGAATTAATTTGGTTAAATAAAATTTTATTTTATTTCTAAATTAATTAGAAAATAAAAGTTACATTTTTGTTTCTTTTATTTTTACAGAATTTAATTCTGTAAATTTGGATTAGTTTTCTTTGTGGAATTAATTTGGTTAAATAAAATTTTATTTTATTTTATTTCCAAATTAATTGAAAATAAAAATTACATTTTGTTTTGTTTCTTTTATTTTAACAGAATTTATTTCTGTAGTTTTGGTTTAATTGTTTAAATAAAATTTTATTTTATTTTCAAATTAATTGGAAATAAAAGTTACAATTCTTGTTTCTTTTATTTTTACAGAATTTAAAATTCTGTATTTTTTTGTTTAAATTTTCTGTGTAGTATAAAATTCTAATTCTAATTTTATTTTAGAATTTAGAATTTATAGCTACTAAAACTGGTCAAACTAATGTTCAAACCAGTACTAGTATGATGTTTGCCATTACGCCAACCTCTCCTTATGTTGGGATTGTGCCAGTAAATCATGGTGAAAAACCAGAGAAGTTCTTAAGAACTATTTTTAAAAGATGGCAGAAGAGAATACTATCTAAAGGAGGGGAAACTAAGAAATACAAGTTTAATGGCATGTGTTACATTTGTAACAAAGAGGGACATCGAGTCAAAGATCGCCGTTACAAACGTAAAGGCAAAGGAAGACCAAGTAAGAAGGTTGCTAAAGCCAAAATGACCGAAATGGATAAAATTTCCAATGGTGTAGATGTTATAAATGTTTCTGCAGTTGTTTTCGAGGCAAATCTTGTCGGAAATCCTAAAGAATGGTGGGTGGACACTAGTGCTACTCGCCATATCTGTGCCGACAAAAAGATGTTCACATCTTATTCTACAGTAGGCAACGGTGAACAACTTTTTATGGGCAACTCCTCAACTTCCAAAGTTGAAGGACAAGGAAAGATTGTACTAAAGATGACATCAGGAAAGGAACTC